ACCATATAGTACCCCATAAGTGTCTGTAACTATGTGCCAACCGAAATACAAATGAGGCGGGTGAGATGGCTCAGTGGGTAAAGGTGCTGCTGACCTCTAAGTCTGACAAACTAAAAATCCTCAGAACCCACATGTTAAGAAGTGGCCTCTGAGCTCCACACATGTGAGCCTCACATGCAAACACACACATACACACTAAATAAATGAAGCACCTTTTTGTTTGCTTGTTTTTTGAGATAAGGAGACAGGGTTTCTCTATGTAGCCCTGGCTGTCCTGGAACTTACTCTGTAGACCAGGTTGGTTTGAACTCACAGAGATCCTCCTGCCTCTGCCTTCTAAGTGCTGGGATGAAAGGTGTGTCCCACTACCGTCTGGCTAATGAAATACTTTTCAAAAAAGATAAAGTAGTTGGGTTTGATGGCGCGTAGCAGCAATTCCAGCTCCTGAGGCAGTATCAGGAGTTCAAGGCCAGTATTCAGGACAGGAGATCCTGACTCAAAACAAAACTAAGTAAATGATAAAAATAAAAAGCCACTAGAACCAAGGATATCTAGCTCAGAGATGAGATGGCTCACAGGGTAAAAAGTGCTTGTCGAGCAAGTCTGAGTTTGATCCCCCAAAACCCACAGGGGAACACGAGAACCTCAAAGTTGTCCTCTGATCACACATGCATTCCCACAAAAGCATGCGTGCATACACAATAACAAATCGTTTTTCCAAGAACCAAGGACTACTTAGATAAGAAATATGTAAACAAAATCTCCGTTGTTTTGTCTTTTGTGTTTGAGACCTCAGACTTGCTATACAGTTAAGCTCTGGGATCACAGGTGTACACTACCATGTCTGGTTTAAGACCTCCCAGGGATGAAGCACGCTTGCAATCTCACCATTCAGAAGGCAGAGGCAAATCATCCGGCTTGGATTACTAGTGGATCCCCATCTCAAAATACCCCAGAGCAAAAGCAAACAGCGAAAAAGATGCCATCAGGATTCTAGCTTCAGTACATTAAAAAGATGATAAAAGAGAAAATACAGCCAGGTGGTTAGTGCCACCCGTGAGCCCAGCACCTTGGAGAGAGGAAGACGTTTATGAATTCATAACTAGCCAGAGCCACACAGCAATACTTGTCTCAAAAAAAGGAAAAAGAAAGCCATGTGATATATGATAAATTAACATTTAAATTTTTTGAAGGCTACAGTTACTCTGCAACAAAATGACTATTTGGTAACCCATCTTCACCAGCCAGTGTCAGCGCCCTTTACCATATTCTGTGACTGTTATTTTGTTTGGCAGTTAATCCTCAAATCTAAAAATTATTATAATTTTATGAACACTTAAACCATACCACTTTATATATTACACATATAATTTATACTCCTTCCCATTTACTCCTTCTTTTCATACTTGTCTCCAAACAGCCAAACCCCTAAACATTAGGTCTAAAGTCCATGAATTTCTAAACTTAACCCATGTTAAGGTCAAAAGATTTGTAATTTTACGTTTACTACCTATTATTGAGCAAACACCTGTTCATATATCAATCTACATATTACATCAAAGTTTCACTGAAAACTGTTTAATCAAGTAAACTTGCAATTCTTTTTTAAATTAAGTTTACTTTTTTTTTAGGTTTCTCTGTGCAGCCGTGGCTGTCCCAGAACTCGCACTGTAGACCAGGCTGGCCTCTAAACTCAATCCACCTGCTGCTGCCGCCTCCCAGGGCCTGGATTAAAGGCTGCACTGCCACCACCACGTTATTTCTCAATTTTAGCTTAACTCAAGGACAGTACAGCTGTCTGACACATCAGGAAACAAGGTGAGGAGGCATCTGTGCAAACTAATTCGTATAGGGCCAACTTGTGAAAGAAAATGGCTTGGATTATGGAAAGCAGTGACGTGCCAAGTGAAAACCAACTCAGCCCAAAACGTTCAGCACATCCTTTGTTTTGGCAACTTCAACTTCTGGCTAGAAAAGCTGCCCTAGCTATGACATGAAATGGAAACAGTTTATTGACTATAAAATGCTGGCAGATTTGGCAGCTGGCTCACAGTTAACACTGCTGTTACTGGTTCACAGCGCTGTGTGACAGAAGCTGGATTGGATCAGACTCTAAAGTAAAGGCCAGATATAAACCAAATCAGTCATCTCCTTCCTTCATCCCTTCCCTGCACTAAGACTCTAAAGGGAAGCGCAGATACAACATATGCGTGTCCCCTTTTTTACAAACTAAAAAAACCTCCTGGATATTTTGAGATATCGCCATCTTCATAGAGGATTCTCAAAGTAGGTCCAACTCCTGTGTGTGTGCTGTGTGCATGTATGCGATGTGTGGGCGCACATATGTGCAGATGAGAACGCATGTGAAGGCAGAGACTGACGCCAGCGGCTTCTTCATCCACGCTCCACTTCATGTGCACTGCAGCATGCTCAGCTGAGCCCAGAGCATGCCAGTCTGACTAGTCCAGCTTGCCAGCTGCACTGGGGATTCCGTCTCTGCCTCCCAAGTGCCGGAATTATAAACTGGCCACCAATGCCCGTGTGGCATTTATGTGGGTCCTGGAGACCCAAACTCTAGTCCTCACGCCTGCATGGCAGGGGCTATACCTGCCTGGCCAGCTCACCAGTCCCTAAGCCTCCCTCCTTTTTGGAAGCACTGTATTAATAGCGAGCATAGGAACAGAGCTAGACAGGGGGCTCATCAGATGGCTGCACAGCAAAGGACTGTATCAACAGTCAGTGTAAACCATTTTCACAGATTTGACATTTTAGACACCGAGAAGTATTCCGTTCCTGTCATGGGAAAAGGAAGTGGTCTACTAGCCAGGTAAAGAGGTAGAGGAAACAATGCTGTTGTCCTGGCATTAAAAGAGCAGCAAAATACTGTTCTGTTGCGTTGACAATACAACTGGGTTGAAACTTCCGCCCATATTTTATCATATTATTTAGTTTTTAATTATGTAGTGCTTTTCTATAATAACTCTCGGTCAGGCTGAAGATTATTCTCGAACTTCATACACTACAAGATGTCAAAGCTGTGTACTAACAATGAAACAAACCTATACTATCCACTAGGACAGCTTGTGGGCCTGGCTGTGGTGGCGCACGTCTTTAACCCCTGTACTTGGAAGGCAGAGGTGGATGGATCTCTGTGAGTTCAAGGCCAGCCTAGTCTACAGAGTGAGACTGGGGGGGGGGGGGATTAAAAAAAACAATTTTTTCAAGATCCATTTTGAAGCAAGCACTAATATTTCCTTACAACCAATGTTTCAATTTATTTACCAATGGCTTTGACATGGAAATATTTCAGAAAACAAAATCTCTATGATTTATAACCGTCCAGATTCTAGTAAATGATAATTTGGGATAGTGTTTTTTAAACTATTTGGTAATTCCCTACTGCCTGTTCGATTTACGGCAGTCTACAATGACACCTACTGGCCACTAGAAATCAGCCATTAGTTCTCTTAGATAGCTAGAGTAGGCTGGTTACATAAGAGAAACAGAGACACACACACACTCTCTTAAATCAACCCACCTAAAGACAAAAATTTGTTCACAGGTATGGAAAGCACGAGAGTATTTCACCTAAGGCAAAAATATGTCTTCTTCAGGGCTAAGGTAACATCATTCTTGTAAAAAGATAAGACGAGGAATGAAACACCAGCATCATTTTAAAACTGTATTTAAGGCGCTAACAAATACCTCAGTTCACTGGACATTTCAAAACAAATCCTAATCAACCATTTCGTTTCAGAAGATATTCTGAGAGAGAAAAAACAAAAAATCTAATTTTATATGTACGAACACAAATGACCAAGAGTAGGAAAAAAAATCAGATCTTAGAAAGTTGTCCTAACATATAGTTCAAAAACAAGCCCAGAAAGAGACACTTCCCGATACTACGTTAATCCTCATCTTCTGACTTGAAGGCAGCATGTCAAGAGCCTACCCTTCAGCAATTTATAGCGCTGCTTTTAAAATTGTATCCCAGTCTTAGAGGAGTTTTCCAATGAGCTATACAAGCAAAAGCTCTTCCACAACACACGCTGAGACGGGAGTTTGTTCGGGTACTGTATCCCACCATTCGGACCGTGAATTTACAACTCACAACTAGTTCCTCAGACTTAACGAAGCAAATCACTCAAAAGGTGGCTCTCCCCTGTTTAGAGTACCGTCTTATTTTCACCATCCTTAGTATCCATATATTGGGGGCAAGTTGTCGACCAACTAACTTACTGTCCGTTTTCTAATCTGAGTTTACCTTCCTCTCTGGATTTAGAAGGCTCTCCACTTTGCTGGAGGTTAAACACTCTATCCGTTCCTGCGCTGCAAAGCAGCCAATGCGTGTACTACAAAACATTTCGCCCATCTCGAGCTTAAACGTCGTGTCTTGTCTTGTCTCAAGCCAAGTCCTTATTTGGGATAAGCGCTTCGTGACTACTCTGCCTTCACGCTGTCCTCCTCCTCCAGAGCCTGCCTGGGTAGGAAAACACGGGAGCCAGCGACAACAAGAAAGTGATCACGTCTATCAACGGCTTGCAAGAGCTCCTCTTCCATGACGCTGGGTCGAGTTGTTCGGGGGGGAGAAAAAAAATAACTGCCAGGGGTTACATAATGTACCAGCCGCTAGTTTCTAGCTCCGACCACCAAGAAACCTCTTCCTCCTCCGCACCCTGACAACAACCCCGAGAATTTCACTCAGGTGTCTGCAAACGCCGCGTCCTTCTCTAGCCTGAGACTTCCTGCAAGAAATCCCTTCAGCCCTCACCGCCCGCGCCCTGCTCCTGCCTCCTTCCCCACCCACACCCTCGTCGCCCTCTCTAGGCCCCCCAAGTCGCCCCCACGACACGCACTGAGCCCCAAGCCGCCTCCTCCTCACGACCCTCCCGGGCTGGCTACCGGGTGTGTAGGGCTCGGGATCCGCCCCCCGCCGGCTCCCGCGACCGCAGCCGGATTTGACACCTCCTCCTCCGGAACCGTGCGGGTCCCCCACCTACCTGTCACCCCGCAGCAGCCTCGGGCTTCCCACCGCCACCGCCTCCCGCAGCAGCCTGCCAACTGCAGCATAACAACCGGCCCTCTCATTGAGTGGGCCGGCGCGCTCAATAACAGCCGCTCCCATTGGCCGCGCCGCCTCATCGGCCCGCCCTCCGGTGCGCCGCCTAAAAGAGTCCGCCCGGGAACAAGGAAAACGCGCTTTTTTTACCCGTCTCCTCAGAGTCCCCGAGCTCAGTCGGATGCTGGCAGCGGAGTGTGGCAAACGGTCTCGATGTCCAGTTTTTCTTACGCCGTCGTCTTTCTCCCTCGTCTGGGAGCCTTGCGCCGGGGTCGGAACGCTTATCGACTCCTCCGCTTTCCTGCGGTGAGGAACGCCCGTCGACAACGTCCGTTTCCGGTTGGCTCCGTCTGGAAGGTTGAATAGTGAGTGTCCTGAGAGGTCAGATTGCTGTCAGGTAATTTAGGGAGCTGGTGGGCGACCTCTGGGTTAGGAATTATCCAAACTGGGTCCAGGGGGAGTGCAGAAGTGATGAGAGGGACCGGGAGGAGGGGAGCGCTGCGGCCGAGTGCGCCCGAGCTGAGCGGAGGCGGATGGAGGAGGCCCCGATGGTTATTATAGCGCTTCAACCCCAGACACCCCGACCTCCACTCCCGCCGCTGTCACCCGCAGTTTCCTCCTCGCCTCCTGGCTTTTTTGCGGGGCAAAGAACAGTACCCGATCCGAAAATGCTTAACCTAGAAAAATTCCACCAGATGCCTCACAAAATCACGTCCATTGCATATTCCTACGGTAAAGGATTGGCTGCCAAAGTAATAGCATTTCATTCGGCTTTTCTTATATTTTTATGGTCATCTCAGTATTTGGATGAGGGAAATTTCAGTTCTATACCTGAAAGCCCTGTGAAATTACACGGAGTGGAAGAAGCATCCCGTAGGGAAAGTAAACCAACACGTCCTTTATTAGAACAAGCCACCTTGGGTGGAGGTTGATCATCACCTAACTTCTAAGTTGGCTTCTGACATAAGCAGGTAGCATTTCAGTTTTCCATAATTACACGTTCGGTCTTTGTTGAGTTTATTTCTTTACTGTCCTTAAATGAGCGGTCCTGCAAGGGAAATGATTTCCCGCTGTTGAGTGCTCAGTGCAGTGTAACTCACCTTTCCCGTGATGTGAGGAGAGAACTGGTTCCTTTAAGGTGTCCTCTGACCTTTATATGGACGTGTGCACACACAAATCAATGAGGCTTTAAATAAAGATTCCTTTGAAAGTAGGAGCCAGGCATATGCACAAGTCTGCACTTGTAGCACTTGGGAGAAATAGAGACAGAAGAATTGAGAGTTCAAAGTCGTCCCTGAATACATATCAAGTTTGTGGTCAGACTGAGTTAGGTAAGACTGTCTCAAGTAAATAAAACAGTGTTCCTGTAAGATGGGGTGGCGCCTACCCCATTGATAAAGTTATGTGTGCTTCGTTCTGAAAAAAGTCTGATAAAACATATTCCTTGTCATATACATACAGAAATTTCTCTCAAGTAGCAATGTCCAATAGGAACGTAATGGAAGCCATGCATGTAGTATTAAATTTTCTAGTAGATGCTAAAAGTAAGACAAAAGTCATCTAATATATTAAATGTAGTCTCATTTAAAGATGTAGTCTGCAGCCAAGCATGGTAGCACACGCCTTTAATCGTAGCTCTTGGGAGGCAGGGGCAGGTGGATTTCTGAGTTCAACACCAGCCTGGTCTACAGATCGAGTTCCAGTACAGCCAGGGCTACACAGCAAAACCCTGTCTTGGGGATATATATATATATATATATTCACACATGCGGACACACATATATATATATACACTCTGTATTATTAATGAACTGTTCTACATTTCATACTGTCTTAAAATTTTTTGTACGTTATGTATACAGTATATCCATATTATTTACATAAATGTACATACTTGGTCTGTGCTTGTATTTTATAAGGTTGAAAAGTATATTCATACACCAGATAATTCCAAAGACACTTTAGTATTTTCTTATAATTGAATTTGCTTTGGTACTTGATCCTCTCCCAGGGGACCTGAGTTTAGTTCCTAGTACCCACACCAGACAGCTCATGACCACCTATTATTCAGATTTAGGGGATGCAATACCTTCTCTGGCCTCCCTCCCATGCATGCATCTCTCTCTCTCTCTCTCTCTCTCTCTCTCTCTCTCTCTCTCTCACATACACACACACACACACACACCACAAATAAGGTCTTTTTAAAAAGTTAAAATCCCAGGTTCCTTAGCTGCATAACCACATTCCAGAGGTTAGTGGCTACCTAACAAGACAGCACAGATCCAGGAGAGGAATTGGTGGCCATAGGTATCCAAATGTTCTTTTTGTTGTCTGTTTACGTTTTGATTTTCCAGGCTGGCCTGGAACTCAAGAAATTCACCTGCCTCTGCCTCCCGAGTGCAAGGATTGATGGCGGGTGCCCGCACACCCAGCAAATGTCCCATTTTCTGGGTTATGACAGTTTTTCCAGAACAGTAGTGCTCAGTCATAGTCTCACCACTTGGATGTGAAAATGGAAGGCACACTACAGTGTGTTCTCCGCATTTCCCAATCTTGGAAGGTAGATTTTTATCCTTGTTATGTGAGGCAATAGAAGTCCAGAAAGCTTCAGGGATTTTCTTGCATTTTATAGCTATTAGTGATTCAAAAAAAGATGGTTTTAAACTCTTCCTTCGAACATTTGAGATTTTCTTGTTTAATTTATGGCTATTTTGAAATAACAGTAACCCCAACACTCCAGAGGCAGAGCAGGCAGGTAGGTCGCTGGAACTTCAAGGCCAGCCTGGCTTCAGGACAAAAGCCAGAGCTCTCCAGAGAAATCACATCTTGAAAAATGGATGACAGAGAGAGAGAGAGAGAAAGAGACATAGCATTGACTTACTGCTTAGAGTCTCATTGTCTTCATTTATAAAAAGTGTTTGGTTATTTTTATTTTGTTTTGTTTTGGTTGGGTTTGTTTGTTTGTTTTCGTGAGACAGAGTCTCTCTACACAAAGCTCTGACGGTCCTGAAATTCACTATAGACCAGGCTGGCCTGGAAGAACTCAGAGATCTGCTTGCCTCTGCCTCCCAAGTGCTGGGATTAAATTTGTGAGTCACCAGGTCTGGGAAGGCAGGGGGAGAAATCTGTATTTTTAATTTAAATTCAAAGTTGTTTTAGAAGCAGTACAGTTACTGCCTATAAAGTCCCATGTGCCGGGCACGTGAAGACTACGGAAGTGTTATTGTTAGCATATGTAGTGAGTGGGTATCTGAGTGGTAGGGCTACTCACTGTTTTCAGTTCCATATATTGTGTATGTATTTCCTAGCTGTGAGCATACACTAAGTACGTAATAGTACACTTTTTTTGGTTGATTTTCTGGCCTGGAAATACAATACACCACTTGCCACTTCCTCCCAAGTAATCCTAGTATATTTTTATAAAAGCTCTCTACTCAGAATTGTCAGGTATTTATCTTTTTAAAAGCATTTCACTTGACACATCCTCATCAACATTGGCTCTCTCTCTCCCTTCTTTTCCTTTTTCCCGTAGACATGGCTGCTGGGCATGGACACGAGCACGGGCACGGGCATGGGCATGGTCACGATAAACTGGTCCTTCCAGATCACACACAGTGGAAAACAGAAGGGACACCGCTAGAGACAGTGCAGAAGAAGCTGGCTTCCCGGGGGCTGAGGGACCCGTGGGCTCGGTAAGATGAGTCTAGGCGTGTCCTTCTTGCTCTGGGTACCGGGACGGGAAGACTGGTGTGCATCAGACGCCTCAGCGGAGGCCCCTCCTTCCAGCCTGTGGGTCCTGGGGAAAATGGCTCTGTTTTTGTTTTTTCTTTTGAGACTGGATTTCTCTGTGTAGCCCTATCTCTGTCTCTTAGAACTCTGTACACCAGGCTGGCCTTGAACTCACAGAGACCCACCTGTCTCTGCCTCCCCAAGTGCCCAGCGAAAAGTGGCTTCTTAGCTTTAGTTGGGATCTTCCTATTTCATAAAACTTACGGTGTGAATCTTTTCCATGTGTCTATTGAACTCACATCAGTCTTGAGGTAATTTATGCCTTTATAATGATGAATCTTTTAGAACACATGGGATTTATGACTTTTTGAATTTTCAAGCATTATTTCCTTACTTTTTATACATATCCTGAACATTTTGTTGAATTTATTTATATTTCTGGTACTATCATAGGTGGTATTTTAAATCACTATTTGTAGCTCTGTTATTGACAATTAAGATTGTAATTAATTTTCACATACTGACTTTATATCCCATTTATTATTTAGCTAAATTTTTGCCCTAGTAAACTTTTTGTTTGTTTGTTTGTTTGTTTGTTTTTGAGACAGGGTTTCTCTGTAGCTTGGGTGCCTGTCCTGGCCTAGTAAACTTTTTTTTTTTTTTTTGGTTTTTCGAGACAGGGTTTCTCTGGGGTTTTGGAGCCTGTCCTAGAACTAGCTCTTGTAGACCAGGCTGGTCTCGAACTCACAGAGATCCGCCTGCCTCTGCCTCCCGAGTGCTGAGATTAAAGGCGTGCGCCACCACCACCCGGCATGAACTTTTTTTTTATGTCCTTTAATTTTTTCTTTTAATAATGATCATTTTGTCTACAGAGACAACATCACTTTGTCTTTCTCAGACTGTAAACTTCCCTTTATTCTTGCGTGATTGCAATGGGTAACATGGAAAAAGAAACCAAAGAATTTTAACTTCTTTTGTTTTGTTTTTTTCCCCTGGTGGCTTTGCAGCAGATCTCACCAAGTCCCTCAGGCTGATGTGAACAGTAGTCGTGTCTTTCAGCCTCTGAGTGCTGGGCTGGAGGTCTGGGCTGTCACTTCAGCTTCTCCTTCCTGTTGTAAAGTCAGTCGCCCCATTGTCCCCGCATGTTCCTGCTCCTAGTTCAGCCAGCATTCTGACCTCAGCCTCCTCGCTGGCTGGACTGGAAGGACTTAGCACATCCCTCTCCTGAGAGCGTCTCTTTTCTGTTAAAGTGCTGAGTTATCTGTACAAACTTCCAGATACTAAACCATTGCTTTTCTGGGCTGAGCCCTGTTTCTTCGTGATAAATTATTTTTGTTTTGTACATTGCTGGTTTTAATCTTCTAAGATTTTGCTCAGAACATGCAACAGGCCCAATGTGGTGGTGCACGCCTTTAATCCCGGCACTCAGGCAGGTGGATTTCTGCAAGTTCCAGGCCAGCCTGATCTAGTTCCTGAGCTCCACAGCCAGAGCTACTTCTAACGTCTTTGTGTAGTTCTGGCATCTAAACTAGTTTGATTTGTTTCCATATTTTCTAGTGAGGCGGATTTTTTTTTTTTTTTGGTTATTTTTTTGTCCTCTATAAGGTGATTCCCCCCCCCCCCCCCCGCCATCCCCTGCTAATGTAGGTTATCTATACAAGAAGACATTTCTTCCTGTAGCTCTTGGCTTTCTGTTCAGAGTAGTCAGAGCAACCAGAGCAGGAGCTCAGACTCCTGAAGCTCAGACTGTACGACAGGGAACAGCTGTGAGCCCTTGAGTAATAATGCCAGCTGCGCATCCTTCTGTGCCAAAATAGATTAGACATCGGCATGCCTAATATTTATGACAATAATGTTGGGTAGGTAGTAGTCAACTTTGAACAGAAGGTCAACTTCATATTTTATATGTGAAACTTGATCATATATTCTTAATTCTACTCTGCCCAGAAATATTCCCACTATGACTTACATTATTAAGTAGTCTAGCTTTGGAGCAGGTGTGGTGGTGCATGCCTGGAGCTTTACAGCTCAGAAGACTGGAGCAGGATTGCCACAGCTTGGCCTGTATAGAGAGATCCTGTTTAAAAAACAATGCTGGGCACAGTGGCTCACGCCTTTAATCCCAGCACTTGGGACACAGAGGCAGGGAGATCACTGTGAAGCCAGCCTGGCCTACAGAGTTCCAAGAAGCCAGGGCTGCACAATGAGACTCTGTCTCAAAACAAACAAACAAAAACAAAACAAAACCAAAAAAACCCAAAAGATACTAATGTAGCATTTCAGTATTTTGGCTCGGAGAATTGCACGATTGTCATTTTTCTCCTCTCTTCCAGCAATGAGGCCTGGCGATACATGGGCGGCTTCACAGAGAACGTCTCCTTCATGAGTGTGCTGTTCAAAGGGTTCAAGTGGGGGTTTGCTGCCTTTGTGGTCGCGGTAGGGGCTGAGTACTTCTTGGCCTCCCCGAATGGTGATAAGAAGCATCACTGAAGGCAGCACCTGGGCTTATCTCCTGACTTCTCTCTCTAGCGTCCTTGGCTTAGTTAAGTTAAGAAAGAATGGCTTAGTTAAGTAAAGAAAAACTTTGTTTTGTCTTGTAATGCTTAAATAAAGTTGGAAAGAAAAATGTAATGTATGTACCTGTAATTCCAGCTCTTAGAAAGCTGAGGCAGGAGGATCATGAATTCAAAGTCAGCTTAAGCTACATAGTGAGGCTGTCACAATAAATAAATAAATATGCATGTGTCCACGCACGTGTGTGTATTGGACTTTGTTTGGAATGGTGGGTGTTGGGGGACCAGCAGCAGTGCATTCTGCATGCAGCCTCCTAATTCAACTTAACAAATGTATTCCAAGAGTTACCTACTGAATCCACTGAGCCTGCGTGTGCGTAGGTGTGGAGCTGTCCATTGGGGCTTAGATAACTTAACAGAGGTGCAGAACCCCACCACCACCACCACCAATAAAAAAACAAAAAACTGGCCGGGTAGTGGTGGCACACGTCTTTAATCCCAGCACTCGGGAAGCAGAGGCAGGTGGATCTCTGTGAGTTCGAGGCCAGCCTGGTCTACAAGAGCTAGTTCTAGGACAGGCTCCAAAGCTACAGAGAAACCCTGTCTTGAAAAACCAAAAAAAGAGGAAGAAGAAGAAACTGGAGAGATGGCTTAGCAGTTAAGATCTTTGGCTGCTCTTCAGAGGATCTGGGTTTGAGTCCCGGCACCCCGTGGTTGCTCACAACCTGCGACTTCAGTCCCAGGAGGTTTGACATCCTCTGCTGGCCTCTCTGGGCTCCAAGCATCCACAGACATACATGTCAGCAGAACACCTACACGTTAAAAAAATCATTTTAAAAAAGATTTTAGGGGACTGGAGAGGTAGCCCAGGAGTTAGGAGCACTGGCTGTTCTTCCAGAGGACCCAGGTTCAATTCCCAGCACTCACATGACCGCTAACAACTGTCTGTAACTCCAGTTCCAGGATCTGATACTTTCACACCAATGCACATAAAATAAATATTTCTTTTAAAAAAAAAGATTTTAAAGAGTTTATTGAGAAGATGTATTTTTTTCTTGAGTACCTCAAGCCAATTAAAGTCAGAATGAGTAATCCTAAATGAGGCAGAATTTCTAATAAAAGTCAAGTGGTAAAATGGAATCATTAGAAACTTAAGGGAGCCGGAGCGATGGCTCAGCAGTTAAAGAGTATGCGCTGCTCTTCCAAGGGACCTGGGTTCAATTCCCAGCACACACATGGCAGCTCACAACTGTCTGTGACTCCAGTTCCAAGGGATCTGACACCCTCACACAGACATACATGCACGCAAAAACACCAATGCACATGAATAATAAATAGTTGGAAGAAAGAAACCGCAGTTAATGGCCAGCTCAGTTGGTTTGTTGGTGAGCACTGTCTTTCTTGTGTACAGTAGCTGGATTCTTGCACTGGGGTGTGGGGAATTAATTCACTCTGGCCTTTTCTTAATAAGGAACTAAATTCATTCATGATGGCTCTGACCTCATCATCTCATCTCCCAAAGGCCTCTACCTCTAAATACTGAATAAAAAAAAAAAAAAGAAAGAAAGAAAAAAGAGGCAACATGATTGGTCCCAGGTTTTGGCACCAGATGAATGAAAAAAATAAAGAGGAAATCTGCACATGACGGCTCCTAGGTGTGGTGGAGGAGAAAGTTTATTGTCGATAAAAGGGGGAACATAGCCAGAGACAGGGACATCTGGGAGAGTCCAGAGTGGACATGCCCAGATGTCTTTGCTTCTGGCTGTTCTCTCCCATTTTCCCAGGGTTTGAGATTTAACAAATACCATCACAGTGGAATTAAGTGTCAACATATTTTTAGGGGAACACAAACGACCCACTGCATATCGATTAGAATAACTAACAGCATTGATTATTTTCAAGAAACCAGCTTTCGTCTTTGAAGCCCTGTGGAGACCCGGAAATAGGAGCCTATTTCCACGTTGACCAAAGGTCGGAGAGTTGGAACTTACCTCTAGTTCCTCCAAGGTTATAGTGTTACCACCTCAAACAAAGGTCCCACCTAGATATAGACCAGAGAGTTCTGCTCTTTCAAGATTGTTGTCAATTGCTGTGCCTAATAACCAGACCTTGTGCTGCAGGAATAGAAAAATAGACTATTCCTACCTCAAACAAAAGTCTAAGTATCCAACTAAGCTCCATTTCCCTTTGTGGAGATAACTTGGGATTCCACCCAGGGAGTGGTTTGCCTATAGAATTATTTGGTCTAATACGTGAGTATGACTTGTTTTGTTCTAGCAACAGAATGTTTAACTATGAATGCAGCCCGCGACCTTCGATTGGTCTGTTCATTTTCTTGTATCATGTTAATGCAGTCTTTTGTCTTACTCCTACCTTTTGGGGTCAGGGGTATTTTAAGCAGTTGGAAATTTAACCCATGTGAATTTCAGTACTCACTGACACTCCCTCCTGATACTATCCTATATGTTTCTCCGTTTTATTATTTTCATTCGCGTCTTCATATTCTTTACTATATTTCTAAATCCCCATGCCTGGCAAGAGGTATTTTTGTTGAGGCTGGTCCCTGTCAAAGCCCTTGTTTCTGTAATGTTTGAGTTTGACTTGACGGCCAGCAAGGCCCAGGATCTGGTCTGATCCTGGCCTATTTTAACCATCTTTCCAAGAACAATAGATTGGATTTATTTAAGAAAATACATTTATTGATTTAATAGTCTAATTATTAATATAGTCTGCTATGATGGGTTGATTTTGATAATTGCATCCTTGAGAAAAGGCAATTACAAGACAAGAAATATAAATTTGCATTCTATTGTCTGAAGGTTAATGAATCACTTTACATGATGAGTATGTCACAATTGGAGATGAAGTAATGAAATGTTATTTTACTTAATGAAACTGTGTAATGTCTAAACATTAGACAATGCAAATGTATCAAAACGTATCACACACATAAATTTGTATAATGATGTTTTTAGCACTTAAACTTATAATTTAATTAAAAAGTTACATTAAAAGGAAAGATACAGTGCAGAGAAACAAACACTGAGGTCACTAGAAATAAGATGATTAACTCATTAATAACTACATTGAGAGTATGTAGTCCAAAATTAATTGATTAAGACAAGGATTCACTATGTAGTCCAGGCTAGCCTCAGACGCACAGAGATTTGCCTGCTTCTGTCTCCCTGTGCTGGAATTGGTCCAGAGTTTAAAACATGCCAATTAAAAGATAAATTTTGAGCCAGGTGGTGGTCTTAATCCCAGCACTTGGGAGGCAGAGGCAGGTGGACCTCTGTGAGTTTGAGGCCAGCCTGGTCTACAGAGTGAGTTCCAGGACACCCAGGACTGTTTCACAGAGAAACCTTGTCTCAGAAAACCAATAAATAAATAAAATAAAAGATAAATTTTGGACTGGGTGATGACTCAGTCGGTGAAGTGCTTGCTGTACAATCATGAGGGCCTGAGTTTGGATCTAGCACCCAAGAGAAAATGGGCACAGGGGTGCGTGTTTGTTACCCCAGTTCTGGGGGATGGAACGGATCCTGGGGCTTTGCTGACCAGCCAGTCAGGTAAGCTCCAGGTTCCATAAGAGACCCTGTCTCAAAAAATACATAAATAAGGTATAGCGATAGTGGAAGGCACCCAGCACTGGCCTCTGCGTGTGCGTGTATGGGTACATACATGACCACACACGCATGCATACATAAGACAAGTAGACCTGAGCACAGGGCGGTGTGCCTGTAGGTCTAGCTACATGAGAGGCAGAAGCAGGAAGATAGCAGGTTGGAAGCCAGCCCGGGTAACGCGACAAAACCCTGCCTTAAAACCTACTAGTCCCTCTCTAATCTTAAATATCTATGCAGAGCTTCAAAACAGCTGAAGCAAACAGAGCTAAAGGGAGAGAGCCGCAGCTGCAGCTCGCAATGCTGTTTCCCGTAATTGATAGGACGAGTGGGAAACAAGGCTGCAGGAGTCTTGAGCAACGCTATCACCCAGCTTGATGCAATATTTATAGAATGCTGGAACAAAGGCAGAACACATTCCCAGAGTATGAGGGACATTTACCATAACTGATTAGATTTCAGGCTCCGTAGAGTTAAGACAACTGGAATCGTCGTACATGCAGCTCTGCAAAAACAAACGAAACGCCACAACTGAAATCATACAACATGTACTCTCTCTCACAGGACATAGGAATTGGACAAATCATTAACCTCTGAAAAATTTCTCTTTATTTGGCAACACAATTATAACAATAAATGGCTCACCAAAAGGAGCAGTTTTAGGTAGCGTCTTTGGTGCTGTGTCAGAACACTGACCAAAGCAACTTGGGCAGGAAAGGGTTTGTTTCATCTTATAGTTCCAGATAACTGTTCGTCAATGGAGGAAATCAGGTCAGGAACTCAAGGGAGGAACCGGAGGCAGAAAGTGAAGCAGAGACCACAGAGAGACATGGGTTGGGTTGCTGGCTTGCTCCCTATAGGTTACTCAACTGGTTTTCTTATTCAGCCAAGGACCACCAGCCCAGGGTAGCATCGCCCACAGGGAATGGGCCCTCCCCTGCCAGTCAACCAAGAAAATGCAGCAAGGCTCACCTAAAGGCCAATCTGGTGGGGGTGATTCTTCAACTGAGGTTCCCTCTTTTCAAACGATTCTAGTTTGGGTCAGGTTGACAAATCTAATCAGCACGGACTCTAGGGAAGGTAAAAAATAGCAGAAGAGAAATGAGATAATCAAAACCCAAGTTCAAGAACCACAGGTGAGACTTATGTTTAGGGGTGAACAGGAAGGAAAGACACAAATGAGCAATATGAGGAGAGAGGAGAGAGAGAGAGAGAGAGAGAGAGAGAGAGAGAGAGAGAGAGAGAGAATGTCATAGAAGTATAGAAGTCCCGGAGAATTAAACAAAAACATTTTATACACATCTTTAAGACAAATTTGGTAGCTTTGGTGAAATTGACCCTGCTTTCTTTGTTCATTTTGTTTTCTTATGCTTAAGGTCTTGTACTTTTGGCCGTCTTCCTGCCCCTGCCTCCTGAGTCCTGGGATCACAGGAGTTTGCCCCCACACCCCGAATACTATCATTTTGTAAGACAAATCACCAGACTGGGGGTGGAA